CTCCGTGAGACATTACGTAACTCAAAAGAAATTCCATTAAAGGAGGTGACAATTACTTGTCTTTTATCATTGACAGACAGGGGGGGGTGGGTTGTCACACTTTTTAAAAAAGTGTTACAACCATCCACGATACATAAAACTAGGGAATGTCTTGATTTTAATATTTTCCAGATTGCCCTATATCAGGGTTACCAGCATTCATTTGTCAGCACTGTGACCAGTCCTCCCCATTCACATGCTGTACACATGTTTAGCGACTCCGAATAAGAATATACACACACTTAGTTAGACCTAAAGATGAGATGTTCTTTAATTAATCACATTTTAACAGTATTTATTAAGTGTACTTTTAAGTAAGTTTATTCTGTAGATAAATTCACATACACATACTGTCCATGTGTGAGTCATCAGACAAAGTCAGTCACAGCATTAGAGAAACATTGTTCTTTTATATCACTACCTGTTTTGGAAGCATCAGAATCAGAAGGAGCTTTATTGCCAAGTAGTGTTTTACACATTCGAGGAATTTGCTTTGGTGATGAGGTGCTACACGTAGACAAACATACAGTCAACATAAATACATGTAGAAATATATATCATATAGCTTAAAAGGTTTAAACATGTTTGATTGTTTGTTTATAGGTCTCAAATTATCCATCCCCTGTGATGACTCGCCTGCCCACTCATGATTTTCCATCAAAGGGAAAACTGTGGGGAAAGCCAGTGTAAATGGAGCAGAGCATCTGCGAGCACTAGGTCTCGAATTTTTAAACAAAGCTGTTTTTGATTACATTACATCAATGCCACACATTTCTCTGTTGGTGATTCGGCAGAGGCCTGGTTGATAGTTTTACATTAACAACGCAGCTGGTCGGTTTCGTTCTGCGGCCCATAACAAGAAGCATGCTGAGATGACCACTGTTGGCTAAAGCGTACAGCTCACAATGGCCACACACAAGGCTAATCTGTCTCAATTACAATTAGACAGGATAAAACTGGGACATGTGACCACAGTGAGAGTACGTCTCTCCCTCCCACAGCGTACGAGCCTTTTCCATCTATTCCAAAACCAATCACCATAAAGAGGTGATGACGAGTTTGTAGACAAAGTATCCTAATTATTAACAAAGGTTAAAAGAGAGACGAACATCTCTCCCATGATTCATGGTGAAAAACAGTGCACTTGACCGACACTGAGATGACAGAGCCTCACTAACTGAAAAGGCTCTCCACAGTCCGCCGTACTCGGGGACTACAAAGACCTGACCTTTGACCTGAGGTACGAGGTTGAATCTGCTTTGATGCTAGACTTATCAGCTGTTCAGGGACAGAAATGGAAGGTAAACTGTCTGTGTTATTGGTCACTGTAAACTCCAAGATTAAGACTCATTCAGAGAGGGTGAGACCGGTTTAGAACATCCGACTGTCTATCCATAGTAATCTGTCTCTTTCCTACAGGTTCAGACTTGATCTTATGGTGAATTGCACTAATACCATGTGAATAGATGAGATGCTATGTTAAAGTTTTATAGCTCACTTTTAAAGAGCTCAGCAGACCAGACGCCAGAGGATTAACTTGCCCGTGTTTTGGGTAACAAGTCATTATATTCTCGGTATTTTGAATTTTTTGTGGTCAGGTCGCCAAACACTACACTACACATATTTGAAATACAGGGTGACCAATCTATGATGGAATCCAGCTCCACACGGCCGGTGGAACCTTTGCGGTTGCCAGAATGGGAGCAGCGAGGTCTCAAGGGTTCAGTGTTGTGTTTGACTAGTATTTCTGTGATTATGGTGTTTCCTATTCTGTTTGTGTTGGATAAACGTCCACCTGCATCCAACTCGACCACACTGATACTGCATAGTCCACTGAGCTTAATAGTTCTGTGGGCGCCACTTTAAATTCTAGTTGCTATGCACGCCTGACCGGAAAGCTACGCTTTAGGCAGTTGCCTCTGCCTTACACAGCCTGCATGGAACGCTCACGTGTAGTTTCCAAATTTAAACCTTTCCCACTATCCGACGCCCGGCAGACCCGGTCGGGCCTTGGAATGCATGCTCGCACGTGGCTAAAAAGTCGACACGGCCCGGTTAAAAACTTAGGCTAAATATCCACTCCTTGCCCACGCGAGCACCGCCACACCCATTCCTCAAAACACCACAGTAGCGACAGACGTCAAATTTAAATGTTTAAACGGCTGTCGGTGGGGCATTTTCCTGGGACTGCACAGTAGACAACAACACAGACTGCCACACCCCATACAAGCCTAGCGCTGACTTGCTATTACACCAAATCCGTGCCATCCCTGACCTGTACTGGTCCTGTGGGAGTGGCCGGCTGTACCAAACTCAACGCCGGAAGGATGGAGAGGTACATGCGCGAGAGTAGTGTTGGCATTGGATGTCCTTATCGTGCCATACGAAGCCTCACAGGCAGAAACGCTCCACGCCAGACTTTTACTCCATCGATCCTAATGTGTCAGAAGCCATCACGGTGCCCTGAGGGGTCACAAATAAGTTTAAAGAAAGAAATCAAATTGCGGCCGTGTTTGAATCAAGTCCCTGCTTATTCATAACTTAATAATGTCTGTGTCCTGCAATACTGGCTACGGCTAATTTTGTCAATTTTCTGTATTAGGATGTCCATACATCGCCAGAGGGAGGATTGTTATGGCAGAAAATGTGTCCTGTTATATTTAATGTTTTGTGTGTGTTCTTTTACTATTATTATTATTATTATTAAGTATTGTGTTTTATCCTTAACCTTTCCTCTCCTACACTACTTATATTAGTCTGTCCACATTTACTAGGGTTTAGCTCAGAGCTGTGAGATTGTTTTTGGTACTTTCCCACTGATGTTGTTTCTCACCTCTCATGGAATGTTAATTTAAGGCTGAGAGAGGATCTATGTTTCCCAAAACATAGAAACCTAGACAGCGTAAATGATGATGCAGCCCTTTGCTCGGGGCCAGACGTTGGTGACTGGCTTAGGAGACTTCTGTTTATTTTCTTTTGTTAAATAAATTCTTCAAAGATAACAGTTTGTTGTAACTTATTTACTCAATCTTTCACCAGGGATATAATTTCACGACAGTGTGGCATCTATTTCGCTACTGGGGAAGGTTGTAATAAGGGAACACAATGCATCTGACATCAGCTCACGAGGTCTGTGGTATTCTTGTAGAGGACTGAATTGGTGCCATTTGTAGTGAACATATGTGGGTATTTTGTATAAACATTTGAGAACTCTAGCTAAATAATTCAGTGATTGATAGTTACTGAAGCAAAAGGTGTTACAACCATACCCAGCCCCCCCCTAAACTTCATAAAAAGGCAAGTGGAAATTATACAACTTTTGGAACAGTTCATTAGCTTTGAAGGGGTGTTTTCAGTAACAATAACAGGGTTGACAACAAAATCAGACCAACTAAATTGTTGTTTTTTGCAATATTTATATGTATTTTGTATGATAGTTTGACTTTTTACCCAATAGCTAGTAGAAGTAGAAAAATCATACTGAGGGACAGGCCATTTTCAAAATTTCTGCAAGATGCTTTGCACAAAAATGTGATTAAAATACTTTAAAAACAAAAGAAACAGAAAATAATTTCCTCTTATATTGGAAATTATTCCTCTTATATTATGAGACATATTATGGAAACTAAATTATAAAGTATTTTATTTGTTTCATGGTTTATTAAGATTTACAGAGCTTTGGCACGTTTTCGTATATAATGACCCCCACATGGACACAAAGACCTGTGGTGTCAAACACCACAGCAAAGGGGGGAAATCACATATGAGCCGATATACACACCACCTGATCTCTAACCAATGAACAGTTTGAGACGAAACAGGTGTTTAGGCTACTGATGACACTTGATGGGTTTTTACCATGTAACTGACAAAGACAAAGACAAGCTGGTAACTAGACGGGGCCGCTTCCGTCAAGGGCCCCCAGTGCACTGAAACTACAACTCATGAAAGATACGATATAGCTCATTAGATTTTGTGCTGGGCCACATGGAGGTGTAAATACTGCTATTAAACGCTATAATATGTGGGGTTTATCAATGGTAATAAATGATTCCAAGAATTTATTTTATTAACGTTTACATCCTTTAATACTTTAATACAATTACACTTAACGCCGTTTGATCAAAGAGCACAGCAAAGTGTCTGAAAAGGACCTAAAGAGGTGGATGCATAATTCGGCACATGAAATTTTGAAGGCTACCTGCCGAGATTTGCATCCTCCTCTTTTCTCAGCATTAACGGCAGGCGTGCGCAATTCTCGGCAGGCAGGCAGAACCGGGCCAAATAAGGAAGGTAAACTCACATCAGTGCCAGTGCGCTTTTGGGGATGCATCAGGAATCTCCACAGACATTTGGAAGGAGATTCTTTTCCAGCTCTATAGCCGCTCCCTCTGGCTTTCTAAAGATAAGTTTATTTCCATCTGCGGGACGGATGAGACTCGCTGCGTGTAGGATGGTTTGTAGGCTACTCCTTGCCATGGAGTTTATTTCCTAATATCCACATATTCCGCTCTTTTTCGCTCCACTCGTTGTGGTTTATGAATGGCTTTCCTTTCCAGCTCAACTTCTTCTCACTTACCGCTCTTAAGATGAACAGAATATTTCTTCAAAATAGCGTCGCAACCTTCTTTTTCGCGCGAACCAAACGAGCCTCCTCACGTCTCTTGAGCTAAGTGAATCGTCTCACCCGAGCCCTTAAGTCTCCACCACTTTTCAACACAAAGGGACGCTCTTGTCCTAATCTAATTTCTCTATAGCCCAATAAGACAGACAGAAAGTAATCTTTTTCCGCTTCATATTAATGTCTTGGCACTTTCTTTTCAATTTTTCTAAACACACATCAGACTATACATTCTTTACATTTACGATATAACAATACAACCTCGCTTCAAACATGCTAAACAGCCTAAACCACAGTATCCAACATTTCCAGAAGTTTTACTTTAAAAAGCAGCTCTTACCTGCAGAATGATGGACGTTAACTCTCCGGTGTGATGTCGAGCTGTGAGGCTGGACGACACAAACGCTTACTTCTCTGAGTCTGTGGCTGACTGCCCACAGGAGGAGCTGACTGAGGAAATTTGCTACTGCAAACCCCCCCCCCCCCCAACCAGGGACATACAGTTGCTGTTAACTTATGTGTACAGATGTGAAATCATGACAATATATAATAAAGCACTTTATGGGACTGTTTTCTTAATTCCTCTGCCACATTGCTCTCTGTCTATTCCTGACTTTGCTAAAAACATACACACTTTGTCTTGGCAAGCAGTTTGTTCTTCTATTCACTAGTCAGTCAAAATATTTTGTCCACTCCATCATTTCTGCTCTTTTCTTGGCGCTATGGCCGTAGGCTATAACCAACTATGAGGTAATTATAAGTAGGTCACAGCCTGTCATTAAAAAACCTAAACAATCCGGGGGTACCACTTGGGAAAAGGGAAAACGTATGACATAAGTGTTTTGTGAATTTCCCGGTGGGTGAAATGCTTTGTGCATTTACGTTTATTTACGTTTTATTTATCTCATTTACCAAAATCACTCCTAAACACGACCAACGTTACAGTCACACAAACTAATGAAGTTTGATGAACTGGATTAGGAAACTAAGACCACCTCTCATCACACATACCTTTTTTCGTTCACCTCCCGTTGACTACTGAAGTTAGGCCGGCCTCCACTTCGAAAATGACAGTCAAGCCAGCCCGCGCGCTGTTGCGCTGTTTTGCGATGCGTGTTTTCTCTAGGCATTACGGTAACATCGTGTCGCAGCACATTTCAAAATAAAAGTGAGCTTCTGTCAATCTCTCATGCTCTTTTTACCGTAACAAAAAAAGACAATAGAATATTTCTTAATGACAGAAATTCAAACACATAATGATCATTATGAAATAAATCAAATAAAAAAACACCTTCCTGTCTGTCCTGGATGCTGGACAGACCAAGAGCAGCACTAGGAGACAGAGGCAAGGAAAAACTTCCTTTAAGAGGCAGAAACCAGAACCAGGGCTCAGTGTGGGCAGCCATCTGGCTCAACCGGTTGGGGTGAAGGAGAGAGAGAGGAACAGAGAGAGAGAGGTTTAACAATACCTTTATTTATACATTTTTACTTCAAAATTATGAACAAAGTAACCATCACCATAAAACCATTTGTACTCTTATAATAAAACTCCTTTTTTAAAACTTCAAAACAAACTGATCGTCATGCAACTTACATAACACTTCATCAACACACCATATCTCACAAAACCCAAATAAATTATTTGTCAACCTATAATACGCAAATTCAATCTTAAGCCTCCCCGCTACAAGCCGCTTGCACATCTCTTCAGGATCTACAGTTGCCAATTTTAGACCTTTATTTTTCCGTGTTTTCCACACTGCCAGTTTAGCCGTTCCAATTAGGTAATTTAAAAGACACATTTTTTTCCTTTTTGAAAATGAATATTTGATTCCTCCAATAAACACCCTATCCGAAAACTCCTCATCAAATTTCCAAAACCAGCTCCCAAGCAATTTAAAAATACCATTTAATCTCTCACACTTTAAAAACAAATGCTCCAAATCCTCTTTTTCCCCACAGAATCGACATTCCCCCTTTACCGCTGTGTTCAGGTGTGCCACATGTCCGTCTGTTGCTATCGCCCCATAAATAATCCTCCACTGTAGATCGCCGGAGCGCTTCTCTACAGGAGGCTTATATAGGGCCCTCCACCTGTCTCTTATCAGGAAGTCTGGCCTCAACAAATCTGGCCACTTCGAAGCCTTCTGTTTTCTAAAAGAGTCCTGATGAATGGCCTTTACTGTAATGTTGTACATTTCCTTCTTTGACATGCTTTTAAAGGAACAAAACTGAGGATTCCCAAAGGATAGAACGGTGTCGACCACTTCTTCTTCATCATCCTCCTTCACTGCTGGAGAAATAACCAGTTCTGGAAATTGCACATTATCCCCCATGTCCTGGTTATTCTCATGTCTTTTTTGTGCAATAAAACTTCTGTACCCACTTGGTAATGCGTTGTTTATTTCTTCCTTTAGTTTTGACACCAGACGTGAAGATCTCAATCCTGTTGCTTCGTGAAGTTCATCAATCGGTTTCCATCCTTCGTCATTCAATAAATGATCCAGCTTAACAATTCCATTCCTTAATAGACATTGTCGTACAGTCACAGAAGACAATATTCTAGTTTGAATCAATGGATTAAAAAAAAGTGGTTCCTCTGGTGCCCAAAGTTCTAGATTGTCCATATTCCGTTCTGCCCTTATAACAGTTCTCCATGTTTGCAACATAGCCCTGTAAAACACAGTGAGCTCAGACAAGTTCATTTCTTCAAGCTTCATTAAAAAGAGTTGTTTATCCAGTCCAAAGCCACCAACTCTCCTCATGATCGCACTTGCAGTCTTTCCCCAAAGCACATCTTTGTCATACAGAAATTTCTGTGCCGCTTGTATCCTGAAACCACGGACTCTGTTTCTCACATCCACTAGTCCTTGGCCGCCTTCTTGCACTGGTAGGTATAACACGGCAGCCCGCAACCAATGTTGTCCATCCCAGAAGAAATTCACTATTTCCCTTTGTATACTGGAGATCAGTTCCTCTGGTGGCTCCATGACCATAGTCCTGTGCCACAGAATAGAAGCAGCCAGATTGTTTACTACCAGCACCCTTCCTCGATATGACAATTGTGGTAATAGCCATCGCCACTTCGACAATCGGGCAGACACCTTCTCTAACAAACCCTCCCAGTTTTTCTTCTGAAATTGATCATTTCCTAAAAAAACTCCTAAAATCTTTAGTCCATCTTTCTTCCATTGCAACCTTCCTGGAAGTTGTGGAAAATTTTCCAAATTGCCAATCATAAAACCTTCACTTTTTGTCCAATTGACCTTAGCAGAGGAGGCTTTTTCATACAATTCAATAGTTTTTGTTAAAATTTCAATATCGTCTTTTTCTTTAATAAAAACTGTAATATCATCTGCATAGGCTGATAAAACCACCTTAGAATGACCGTTGCCATGAGGAATTAGAATTCCATTTAAATTCTTCCTCAACCTACATAATAGAGTTTCGATAATAAGGCTATATAGTTGTCCAGAAATTGGACAGCCTTGCCTGATGCCTCTTGTCACGGGTATTGGAGCACTTAAACCACCCCCTACTTTCACCATCACATAAACATTTGAATACAACAACTTAATATATGAAATAAAAACATCACCAAATCCATAACCCTTTAACACTTTAAAAAGATAATCATGATCAACACGATCAAACGCCTTTTCTTGGTCCAATGACAACACTCCTAAATCATTCTTAATTTTCTGATTAAATTCAATTATATCTCTCACTAAAAAAAGACTATCTATTATAGATCTCTTAGGAATGCAATATGTTTGGTCATTTTTGATCAACAAATCCAGACAGTGCTTGAGTCTATTTGCTAAACACTTCGAAACAATCTTATAGTCCAGACACAACAGTGATACCGGTCTCCAGTTTTTTAGCAGTCCAAGGTCTCCTTTCTTTGGAAGCAATGACAAAACTGCTCGACGACAACTTATCGGAAGTGCATTATTTTTTATGCATTCTAAAATAACTTCATATAAATCTGGTCCTATTAGGTCCCAGAAATGTTGATAAAACTCCACCGGTAATCCATCAATCCCCGGCGATCTGCCGTTAGATAGTTGCCTCATCGCCTCTGTAACCTCATGAAAAGTTATTACATCATCCAGCTCTTTTTTCTTTTCTTCTTCCAGCTGAGGTAAGTCCTTAAGCAAGTCTTTAGTGCAGTCAATGTCACAACTCTCAGCTGTATATAATAGTTTATAAAAGTCTCCAGCCAATCTTCTCATTTCTGTAGGATCTGATGTTACGGATCCATCCGAACGACGAAGATGGCACATCATCTTTTGTTGGACATGTTTCCTTTCCAGGTTAAAAAAGAAAGCACTTGGAGCATCCATTTCTTTTACAGAACAGTATCTTGATCTCACCAATGCTCCTTTTGCTTGCTCATGTAGAAGAGAGCTTAGCTCTTGTCTTTTCTTATTTAACCCATGACACTGTACAGCTTCATTATTATTTACAGCTTGTCTTTCAATGAACTCAATGTCACTTTGTAAAGCTTTCACTGTTGCTTTCAGTATAATTGATGAGTGGAAAGCATAGTTTTGACAAAACATTTTTATATTTGTCTTGCCCACATCCCACCATTGACTTAGGTTTTCAAAAGAATTTTTCTTCAATTTCCAAATATCCCAGAAAACTTTAAACTTTTCACAAAAAGAGACATCCTGTAATAACTTAATATTAAAAATCCAGTAATAATTAGATCTGCATGTTTTTTCCAAATTAACATCTAATATGACCATATGATGGTCTGAAAAACCATTAGGTCTAATAAAAGTATTCATCACCTTGTTGTTCCATGTCTTTTTTAGATAAAACCTATCCAATCTCGCTCCACTAATTCTATTATCAACCACTCTTAGCCACGTATACTGCTTTACTCCTTCATTCCTCGTTCTCCATACATCTGTTAACTGAAATTCATTTATAACTTTTTTTAATACATCCCTTGACTTACTATGAGGCTCTTCTCCATTCCTATCAACAACAAAGTCTATTGTACAATTCCAATCACCTCCAAGTATTAGACAAACATTATCATCATATTTTTTTAGCACTTTCCTTAACTCCATAAAAAATATCAGCCTCTCTGGACCATTATTAGGAGCATAAACATTAACAAATACAGACTCTATTCCATTATACTCAATTTGTGTTAAAAGTAATCTTCCTTTCACAATTTCTTCTATCTTTACAATACTCACACTTTTAGAAAATAAAATAGCTACCCCCGCACTATTTCTTGTGTCATGACTCAAGGCAAATTTTCCTTTCCACCACAACCCCCATTCGACCTCATTATCAGTGTCTGTATGCGTTTCTTGTAAAAAACAAACATTAACCTTTTCGATTCTTAAAAACTCAGAAATCTTTGCTAATTTATTCTTGTCCCTACCCCCATTAATATTTAATGAACCCACTCTCCACACATCCATATAGAGAATTAAGAAAAAGACAGAAACTGAAAAAAAGAGCAGAGAGTAAAGAACACCACTTGTGACTTATTCATATCTAAGCTGTTTTTAAACTTTCGCTTTCCTTCTCCTCAACTTCGTTACCATCTTTTTCAGCCTGAATCTTTTCTTTTTATCCAAAACTTCATAGCTCACTGTTTTTTGCAGAAACAACACTGATATTATAAATTTGTCCACATCTGGAAAAAAATCTTCTACTTCTACAATTTTACCGAATGTTGTATCCAGAAAGTCATTAATTTCCTCTAAAGGGTACATGTCTTCAATCACTTGTGACCCAATTTCTGAAAACTCAGAAAGAGCATCTTCATCTCTCATTTCTGCATCACCAATATTCTCACTTCCAACACCATTTCCTCCACTACTTGCAACAGTTTCCCTATCTTCACTCATTACTTTGTTTCCCACCATTCCTGTTGTTTCATTATTCACAATCCCACTTTCCTCAGTTTGGTTGTCATTTTCTTCATTTAATTCAACAGCTTCCTCAGCTCCCTGAGGCTCATCTTCCTCTACAGCTTCCTCAGCTCCCTGAGGCTCATCCTCTTCCTCCTCTACAGACTGCACGT